TTTTATTAAATTTTGATAATCTAAATTTACTTATTTTATAGATTCATCTGATGAATGGTATGTTGATGCAAGATTAGAAGAAAAGACATGCCAGTTATTTATGAAAAATATTTGTCGCACAGTTGGTATTGAAATAGGAAATCGTAACCTTGTAAATCATTCAGGCTGCTCAACATCAATTACTTCACTTTTCCGACAGGGAGTACCCCTTGTTACGACAATGTCTATTACAGGTCATAAAAGTGAATCCTCATATAGAATTTATGCTCGCCCATCAGTTAAACAAAAAGAGGATGCATTGTCTCGAATTATTAGCAGCATAGGAACTTTACCCTCATCTAATGATCAAGTAATAAGTTTATTACTATCTATACTTTTTTTTACACTTTTTTATTGTACTAAATTTAGTACAGTAAATTTTTTTAAATATTTTATAAATGTATATAATAATAATCAAAAAAATTTTAATCACAAATAGATCAAGATTATTTATTTATTTTCATATACTTTTTATAAATTTAAAAGATGTTTGCTAAAACAATTAATACATACAGCTTTTGCCGTATTGCAAATACAATGATATCTTGATCTAATACTACAGTATTTACAACGCAATTGTGGATATTTTGTTTTACCATTTCTTTCCTTTTTTTTAGAAAATGTAGCTAAACTATATTGTGATTCTAATGTTTTTACACGCTTTTTACTTCTTAAATTTTCAGTTACATTATAGTCAATACCAAGTATTTCATCTGCTAATCGCCTTCTAAAATCAAAATGTGAAAGATTATGTGCTTCTTCATGCCATTTTTTGTAGATAAGAAAAGCATTAGCCTCTGCAATTCCTAATAAAAAAGAAAATATACGTATTTGCCAATTTGATCCTCGCATTACATCATGGAATGAAGTCATATTATCTCAAATCTAATAATATAATAAAATTATATAATAATACTATATATATATATATATATATATAATATAAAATTAGCATACCTGATTATTAATATCAACGGCTCCTTTTGCTTGTGAATATTCATAAAACACTTTTGGTCTTGTAAATTTAACAATTTCTGAACTAGTATTATTTTTAACTACATATCTGACTTCATCTGCATTAGCAGTTGTTGATGCTGTTGCAATTATACATTGTGGTTTTCTATCTCTTAAAGAAGCTGCCATTAATTGAATATTATTAATAGTTGCAACTTTTGATATATATGATCCGTATGCACTATTAAGTTTATGAACCATATCATCAGGGTAATTAATAGGCCATGCACGCCTTTTTTTAACGTGAAAAATACCATATAATCCATTTTCCATTAATAATATGCAAAGTTTTGGAGAACCAAACCAACTATCACCTATTATTGTTCGTCCACTACCAAACCATGGTTGTGTTAATCGTAATACATATCCTGCAGTACTAC